TGACTTGGCTAATGTTCTTGTAGGAAAGCTGAGCTTCTTTGACTGTCAGGTCGCTTGTATCTACTACAGTGTTTCTATTACCCTGGATTTTCGTAATGTGTCTATTACTTGAAGTTGTTTCATTCAGACAAAATATTGACAAATCAAGAAACTGATCAGAAACAAAATAAACACTTTTCAAAATCCCTTATAAATCAAAAATTATCTTGGCTTTGGCTCACATACTTCAACATTGTCGAATTTGGGACTTTGGGTTTTGTCCCTTCATCGTCATGATAGGTTAGTGATGCACATTCATGACCTGATTCAAAATGGCTAACTGGTGGCCATGTTGGATTTATTGTCTATCTATTGTAGTATCTTCATCCAATTTTCTGACACTGTCTCTTTGACTTATTTGGTTTGTTTTATATTCATGTTAATTTGTTTTTCTTTTGGATGAAATTTCTTGGACGTTCTTACCCTATTTTGTCCTCAAAAGTCATTACAGCCAAATACAGATGAGAATACAATGAGTTGTTTTCTTTGTTTCTTTCTAGATGAAACAAATCTGAAAACTAACTTTCCTTTAGATCTAATCTTTGAAGCTGTATCCAGTGTGTTTCCAGATAAAGGTACTGCTGAAGAGCTGAAAGAAAAGTGAGTTTCCCCAACCATTGCAATACTGTGTGATAAGTACACATACAATTTACTGTATGATTGAATTAGCCACTCATTTCAGTGTTCTCTCCAGACTCCAGGTCAAGCATCACGGTTAATTTGCATAATATTATTTGCATAATAATTAGTTTTCCCAACACACATTGTGATACATCTTATTTTTACATCTCATATATTTTATCGTAGAACGAAAGTGATGCACTGTTTGTCTAAGTAACGCGAGCTTGCAGAGCTTGAAAGGCCTGGGGAGAAAGTTGTATTTATCAGAATTACCATGGTTATATGCTCCACCCTTGTGGTTGTTTCAAGAGATCAGATTACTGACAATTGCTCACATTCATTATCATAGTCGAATTATGCTAATGCAAAATGCATTTTTGCTTCAAGTTCGGTGGTCGTCGTGCTGCGTCTTGTTCCATATGGAACTCGTAGCAACGTAAACAATGAATGTGCAACGACCACCACCACCCTTTAAGTTTAGCCTAAAAAATATGTACTTTCAAAGATCTGAGATTACTACAATAATTGCAATAATATACACACCACTTAAACTCCATTCACTGTATTTGCTCTATTAGAAGTGCATTTCCAGTAGAAGTGCATGTAAACCAATAGCTGTATATAGAGTATACTGGATCGTTAAAATGTGACCCATTTTTACCATCTACACACCTCTGTCATTTACATGAGCACATATGTATTGGACAACTGTTTGACACTGTTTTTGGTGACCAGACCAAACTATCAACCAAAGTTAATCCAGTCAATAGCGGCCATCATTTACTTGTCAATATGTGTTTATCTTAAAGATCAGGTAACGCATGTAAATTCTAGCTTAATCATAATTTTGTTTTTTTCTGAAAAGCCTCTTGATGTGCAACATTTTTTATGTTCATTATATTTTTTCTTTCAGATATAAGGAGTTAACAGAATGCACAGACCCAAACAGTCTACCTCCAGAGTGTACACCAAACGTTGATGGACCTGATGCACATCTGTCCAACGAGAACAAAGTTTACACTCATTTCATACACTATTTTGTCGTAGATGCTTTAAATATGATTGCTTTTTGCATTGTAAGTTAACTTTATCTTAC